TCTAAGCTCAGAAAACTAAACTGCAAACATCTCATACTTGCTTTCAAATAATTTTAAATTGTGTATTTCAGGAATGCCTTTCAAATTTGATGGATTCCATACACCACCATTGGTTGGCACACCAGCTTAGGTTTATGTTTCTCAAACGCCCTGAACAGAACACTATCAAACTATTTATATGGTAAAAGAATACACCAAATCTGTATTTTATGTTGCTAGTTACCATGTCTCTATTCTGGGAAGCACGCCTTACAGCAGTATCCTGGAAAATCAAGATCAGCATAATATTTGTGGCATTCACCAAATTTTCCCTTTCCAATGAAGCCAAGCATTTCTTTATACATGGTGTTACATGTAAAGCACCTTTTAATATCAAACATCTTAAAACATTCTTGTTTAAACTCTTTGTCCATTGAATTTGTCCAATCATGCACACTATTTAGCCATGTATAGTGCACATCTTGTTGAAAATATGGTCTTGTTACTATATCTTTAAATTGCTTACAAACTAAACTAAGTGTGCAGTATTCTTTATCTCCTTCTTTTAGAACTTCTTTCAGAATCATCTCTAGGATTTCATCTGGAAGTGATTGGATGTGTCCAACGTTTGATGTTTCGAGTGTATAGTAGTCATGGTCATGTTTACTGCATTTTTTCTTTGCAAGGCTGTAAGTACAACCAATCAACTGATTATAATACATCCCAATATCAATTGAAATTATCTCATATATCCATAAATTTCAGCATTTAATTAAATAGACCTGAAAGAGAACGTCTGCATACATACATAATATATACATAATATTATGAACGTCTGCATACATACTGTACGTATACATACATACATAATATTATGTATCCACGTTGTCATGTTTGTGACTTTCACTTTAGGGGATTTTTTCCTATTATTGATGAGGCCATTACTAAACTATTTAATTATTACATGTGATGGCTACAATAATTACATGGTTTGATTTCAGCAATGTAAGTAAATCAGATCATTAATTAACTTCCCTGCAATCTGGCTATTTTTTAATTGGTGCTCATTAAATTATAAAATACATTTGTGTATAAGACTTGAAAGAATCTAAATAAATCATTTTTGATGAATGAATTGTAGACTGCATAAGGAATTATAATTGCCAGTCATACTTGTAGGTCTGTTATGATATAATCGACAGAATGCATGATCTGGCAATTATATTCCTTGCAGAAGGTAGAGTGATGTGACTAACCTTTTTGGTAATTCAATAATTTTTTGAGTATTTGCAAGTTGCATGGCCATGTATTTTCTTAAAATCGGTATTTCATCCTGCCGTGCAATTAAAACACACAATTAATCATCATTATATGATACTAAGTAAATAAAGAATATGTACTGCAAAATTGTTTGATAGTGCAAAGTTTACCACCTTTAAATTCTATATTTCAAACTAAATGTGAAAAACAGCAGGCATGGTGACTCAACTTAACTTTGGTGGGTATTCCTAGTTTTATAAACATATTACAAAGTCAAGTCGAGTCTATAGTTGATATATTGGTGCAAGTCAGGCACCAAAAGTAAGTGCAGTGCATGCATAACACTCAAACCAAAGAACTGTCAGTGACCCTAAATAATACTCCAACATGTTATAAATATATGACATCATTAATACCTGAGTAAAGTTTATTGGCAACCCTTTCATCATAAAATCGGCAGCCTATACCAAATAATCATTCAAACATAATTTATGCAGAGTACAGTAATGGATAAATGATCTACCTCAAACTATCATATAATATTCCAATTAAATTTTAAAACTTGCATTAATAATAATTATAACTAGTGATAATAATAAGTAGAGGGCACTCAAGACAAACATTTGCTAATTTCTCATCCACATTTCATCCAAATTTAACCAAAATTTAATCAATTTGTCCTGGGGCAAATTCCCAAACATTTTTGTATCAATATGTGTGATATTTTTTGTAATTTATTGTGGTGACTGAGACACACACACACAAACACGGATGAAAACATAAGCTCCTGGTAATTATTATTATGAAGTATAATTATACTGTACCATGCATACAAAAACACCACATGAGCTTGAATCAAGTTGCTGTGGTTCATGTAGAGTTAAATTCTTGAATTTCTTTATTCCTTCAAAATCAAACCCTCTTGCTTCTGATAGGAAAAATGCCATCAGTAATCTACAATAAAATTTAATTGTATGAAACATTTTGGGTAATGCGTAAGGTATCTTTAAGTTGAAGAACATGATATTATATACATATATAGCAGGCCTTTGATTACGGTATAGGAGTTTGCGAGGTTTTTTTTGGAGTTTTTATTAAGGTATATTGCTTGATACTATACATACCTGTATGCCATTATGTAGAATAATAGGGATATTAAATGCTAAGAAAATCCTTATGTAAGAATTGAGGGGGAAAAACTTGCGAACAACCTAACACACGCAATTTCTAAATTAATTTTTCTTCTGTGGGAAAACTACAGTAGCGTTCGAACTAATAAAAACAAAATTATACTGTATATTGCTGGTTCGGGTTTTTGTTTTCCGCTCCACTGATAACATTTAGTCGGTGTGTCATCACAACAATCGTTTAAAAACATTTCATCAATTTGTTGGAAAATGTTTTATGTACCTTATTTTGTTGTGGAAGTTTGAGTCGTTCTCCAACAATGGGTCATAAAATATTATGGTCCATGTCCTGAAGTCCACAACCTGTGAGAACGCATATGAAAAATAGTTTATTGATGTTAAGTAAGCTCATCCATACAAACAGACTTAATGAGATGATTTGAAATTGAAGTCGTTAAATAAAAATCTTACACCAAGACACCAATGGTTATTCTCGCGGTTAATTGGTATAAAACACAGGTCGGTCTCAAAGAAAGGTACCTAATGAAAAGGAGAAAACAGACACAAAAACGAGATTGTTGTACACCTCTTGGAATTTACTGTAATACATTTAGTCGTAGAAAGTTTTGAAAATCCACCTTAATTGTTGGCCATATTTTACCTTCAACTGAAGCCATTTGATTATGGAATGGATGCCATATTGACACATTTTAGTGTACATGAAACTACCCATGACCTCTACTTGAATTTTTCCCTAACATATAATATTCAAAATAACGTTAAATATTATTGATATATTGTAATTGTCTATTTTACATAATTGCTATCAGTTTAATTTGATTATATTAGCGGATAACAAGCCATTTAGGCTAACTTACCAGTATTTGCGATCTCCTTTTTATATCAGCCAGAAAGCTGTTTATTATCTATTATGTTGAACAAAAGATCTACATGTTACTGTATATGAAGGCCAACCACGAACAAGCTAATTTAATTTATTAATTCTAGATTTGTAGATAATAATAGAACTCTACCTAAACTGTTCTATTGAGGACCACTGAGGGCCTTTCCATATTAATACACGGAGTAAATCGAGATAAGTTGTTCGTTAATCAAAAGGATGGCATTCTTCTGTCACTGAACTGATCCAAAAGTATTTTATCACAAAACAACTATACTCCATCCAGGCATGTACAAACCCTCATGAAATTGTGGTCGTTTTATATAATGTTAGAGAAACAGCGTTTAAACCATCAAAGAATATTCATCGTTGAGACAAGTCAAACACTCCATGCAAGGTTCTTTTTTGGCAAAGCTATCAATCCGTAAGTCCGGATCATCATGCATCGTCGTCTTTAATAATTATTAAATGAATAATATTAAATATATTACATATATTTCCACGAACGTTTGCATGAAGGTCCTTATCGTTAAGCCAACCTTCGTTGTAGGTTTTTCCATTCTGGGCCGCGAATCGTTGTAGTAGTATTCTCTCCTGCTCAGTAGGTGTTTGGTCAAGCAGCTTTATGTCATAATTCGTCAATGAAATTCCGTCGATGCGTGAAATTACGTGGTTTAGCTGCAATCCCGATCCAAGTTCCCAATAAGTCTTTACCTTAATTGATAGAATGATATAAGTTGTACATTACTACATGGTCATGTTTAAAAAATTGTATATAAAATTATAAGCAATTCAAACTATATAATAAGTAAATACCAAACCTCTTCTCCCAACGTGCATGAATAGACGTCATTGGATAATTTTGTTTCCTGTCTATCATCATTAACATAATCATCTTCGTCTATAAGGGATGTTAGACAGTAAAAAGGTTATTCGATTCAAACACCAGACAAACATCTTTCGCCGTTCAACAGCTAGCCAATGCTGCTTCAAAAACTGCATATCTTGCTACGAAATACGGGTCCATGCGAGCCTTGTTATCGTGCATAAACGTATATATACAGGTAGCGAATTTTTGTGCCCCATCTTCTTAGTTTGGTAGTGCAAGTCTAGTACAGTAAGTATATAACAATGACAATGTTACCTTCACTTGACATACATAATTCATCTATAATTATTTCTTCCACGTCTGAACAATCTATAAGCATGAAAAATGAAGAAAAAAATAATCTAGTTTCCATTAAAGAAATCAGATGTTTCACGTGATTGCACGCTTTATGCAACTATAAACAGGAGAACTCTAGAGCTGACCAGCCACGGAAGTCACAGCAGATAGCTGCATGCTATAGTCTACTAGTATGAGTAATATAGGTGCCAATAAGTACATATATACGGAGCCTCACGAATCCAAGGGCTTCGCACTCATTATGTAGTTTTGCTTCATTTTGTCTTTAACCATCCGTAGTTCTGTCAGTTTTTTATGCGTATAGGGCACACTATAAAAGCTTTTGAATACATGTGCTGTTATCAATCTTCCTTGCAGCAGACTATTATGAGTGCGAAACTCTGTGGAGCCCTAAGACTCCGGGTCGATCGTTCTCTTTATTACTCGAGAGTTAAAAACGGCACCTGCTTTGCTGTAGAACAACATATACACGTCACTATACAACTCTGTCTCACGCATCTGTCTTGCCTCCACAAGGTTATCATCAATGATATACCACTGCTTCCGTCTTGAAACCATGCAGTTGAAGTGACCTTCTTTCGCATCGTTTCCGTGATGTATCTATATCAATCAATCAATCAATCAATCAATCTGTTTAATTAAAACCAATTTGCAGTTTTTAAAGGAAAACTGAGTTACATGGAGTACTAATATAGCATAAAAATTTATATTAAAATGTACATATATATATATTATATAAAATAATGTTTATTTAGTTGGGACTGTTAATTAACTATAAAGCTAATAATATTTCCTAGTCACGAAGTTTTTTAAC